TAACGGCAGCAGGGATGGGGTAAAGATTGTGCTCCGTCAGGGGAAATGGCTCTGTAAGAGCAGGTTTTGTTGCTTCCCTCACTTCTTTCCTGCTTAGTGACTCAGTCCTTTTTAACGTTTTTATTCGGTGGTTTGTATTTCTGTTCCTTGACCCAGTGAAATTTTGCATGTGCTTCTTAACTTTCCAGTCTAAATCAGGCATACTACTTTCCTGAGGTCCTAGTCAATGACTGATACAGACTATTCCCAAAGTCATGTGCATGTCAAGTATATGATGTTGGTATGTATCTTCACTATCTTCTTTGTTTCAAATGGACAGCACTCTTTATAAAGAACCACCTCCCTTTGTCCACTGAGATCACTGGAGCTGTTCCAGCCCTACTTGCCCATGCTGTTTCTGAATTTTATTTTATTTTTCATAGAGCACACTTTTATAGTTTCTTAAACTTTCCTTCTCAATTTCTTTCCTAATTTGTCATGGTTATTTCACTTTGGAGTCTTACCTGTGAATTGCTGTGTATTTCTTCTCGCGTATTTTTCCCATGAGGTTGAAGCTGAGGTGAGACTGCTCAAGAAAATGCCGAGAAGCCACGGGCCTTTGACTTTGTTCTCACAGTAAAAGGGGAAGGTGGTACGAGTTTTCACAAAACTGCGTGTTAGAAGCGTCCTTGAAAAATTTGCCAGGTCTTTTTCTTCTTCCTTTAGATTGGACGGTACATGACTCACCTCCAGGTTGCAGTCTACCCTCTTTTTCTTTAAAAGGAGGTCCTTCTTCTCTCCTCAGTGGGAAGGTCAAGAGCCCAGCATTCAGTAGACATTTAGTAGCTTGAGTGACAAAATCAAAAAGAATTTGAATGCATTAAATAAAAGCAAGCTTATTTTTCTTGTGGGAAGGTCAAGAGCCCAGCATTCAGTAGACATTTAGTAGCTGTTGAGTGACAAAATCAAAAAGAATTTGAATGCATTAAATAAAAGCAAGCTTATTTTTAAATCCCTCTTTATTGGGCATTCTGATAACTGAGTTTGAAAACATAATTAATAACCTAAGATGGGTGTCTGTTCACCTATTTTGTGTGTTATGCCTAAGATACTGTGTACTTGAACTAGAAAGTAATGAATAAATTAGACTTGAGTGACTTTTTGGTTTATCTGGATGTCGAAGAACATTTTATTTTCTTTTTAGTTAACTCTAAGAATAATTGCAAAACAGATTTACTTTACACCTCACATTCTGTCCTCAGCTTCGCCGTTGGGGGTTTGGATTGCGTGGCCACAATGCAGAGGCCTCCGAGGTGTAGCACCCGGTACTGACACTTGGCACTGTTACTCAGCTCTCCTTGGGGTTTTTAATCCTCACGTTTGCCATGCTTCATGTTGTCAAAGTAGACCTTTTTTCCTAACTGTCAAACTCAATACTGTTTAAGTCAAAAATCTCCCAGAAAGTGAAAAGGGGTGGAAATTAGTTGGGATATTCTTACCGAACATGCATATTATTATTGTGATGGCAGTTGTACACCGCATGTTGTGTGAATTCTGTCGACATGGAAAACAAGCAGTCGAGGGCATTGCCGTACATAACTCACACTGTATTAATAGGAGGAATTTAGTTTTTAAGGACTCCCCAGAACATAAAACCTTGGCCTCAAAGGTGTATTTAATCTCATTTTTAACCAGTGGCCTATGTCATTTGTGATGAAATTGCGTGATCATACTACTAGATACATGGAAACTGTACCTTTTTTTCTTTATCTAGTATTTCTGTTAGCACCCGGTGTCGTCGTTTGCAGGACTTACCTTCTCAGCAGTTTCTCAGGAGGGAAAGCCGTGACAAGGAAGTTCTTGTTCTTTGCTCAGTAAAGTCATCAGCTTCCATCGCCAACTGCTAATTAAGTCAGGTTTTCATTTGGGTCTCCCATTATTCTTTCTTGAAGCAGGTTTGTTTTCTTATGCATGGTGTGTTTACTTTGGTTTTATAATTAAAACTAGCTAGTATAAGCAACATGCGAGTCCTTCAGCCCGGAATAAGAAATGGAAAATTTGTTTTATACACTGCTGGGAAAGGCTGCAATCTACAGTATGGAACTGAATTTACCAGCTTCCTGAGTAAAATAGTTTATTTGCTACTTGTCAGCACGCTTGTTGGGTGCTCTTTTATAGTACCTTACGCTGGGTTTTTCCTTCCTCCCTTCACCTGTAGTTGCTGAAAACCAGATGTGTTGGAATTAGTCCAAAAGCCACAATTAGCGGGACTTAATTTCTTCAAAGTCAGAGGATGGCTGTCTTTTCCCCTTAGAAAATGAAGTTAACCCTTGTCTATGTTCAGGTTAGAGAAATAAGCCAGTGTTTATTCTTGTCATGGTTTTTTTGTTTTTGTTTTTTAACAGACATGTTCGGGGGGGCTTTTAAAGCAAGAAATGTACCGCCTTCTTAAGCTAGTCATTGTTGCCTTTTACTTCCAGGCAAAAATGCCATTATTAGAACTTTTTTCTCCTGGCAATGTATTTCATCTGCCCATATACCAACGTGAATTACTCTTGAGTTCCCTGTGGCCAGTCGCTTGTTGGAGCTGAAGACTGCACACGGGAAGCAGAGGGAGAGGTGCGAGCGGGCGGGATTGGCAGGAGGCGCTCAGGCTCGCTTGGCCTCCTGCTGACTCTGAAAAGGAAAAGCCATCAGATTTTACCATTCTGGCTGACACCAAGATCCCCCAAAAGCAAGAACCACTGGCCTTTGATATGTCGAATCCACAAGTCCTCTAGTTTGTACAAACGGCATTTCATTCATTTTGCCAGTCTTTTTTCTCTTGTCCTTTTTTCATGTGTCTTAATAGGTTTTTCCTAGAACACGTGCCTTGGTTTTCCCCCTTTCCATCCACCAGATACAAACATTCTAGTTCCTGCCAGGCTGACAGGTTTCAAAGTCTGTCCTGTCTTCGATGAAGACTTAGATCTTAAAAAACTTATTACTGAGGTTGCTGTTACTTTCTCAGCACGTACCAAGTATTTGACTGTTATTTTTCTGAACTCTATTGGCCTTGGAGGATTTCTCTGTGCTTAGCAGTGACTGGAGTGATGAAGACATTTCCATAGATAATTGTCTTTGTTTTCCTGTGGCAGAAAAGCTTTTTCCACCTGGGCCACACATAACGTGTCCCACTAAAATGAAAACTCAAATAATCACATATAAGAAATTGATGTCTAAAGTAGTTGATTGATGCATGTTAGGAATTCACACTTAGCTTGGAAGCTCTTTAATAGTAATTGCATATTGTTTAGGGTAAAATGCTAAAAAAATATATTTTTTTTGTCCTGAAGCAGTACTCTAGAAGGAGTAAGATACGGTTTATGCTTAGATGCCACAGGGCTGTACATGTAAGATTGTGTCCTCTGAGAAGTCCTTTACTTAGATCAAAGACGTGATGATGTCCTGTTAGAAAACAATGTCTGTATGATCAGATATGATGTGAGCATACTGATTTTCATCTTTCTCAATGCATGGTATTTTTGACATGGATGTAATTTGTTCAGGCACTGGGCTTACAGAACGATATTTCAGGAGAAAGCATAAGCACATTTTTTATGCTATACTTGTAAAAAAATCTCCCCAAACTGATGCATTATCCCATATGGGGGAGAAGTAACCACTCTCCTACAACTACTTCTTCAGTCTAGAGCAAAGACTCTAGAGTAGGGAATAACCTCACATAAATTAAAATTCCATGGAAATATTTTAATTATGATTACCTCCTGACCTTTGGTGTTAGCAAACTGGGAAGTGGTTAGGTTGCAATAAATGAGGCCTCCCACTTGGAGGAACAGAAGGTGACGTAAATGTAGGGTGCCTAGTTGTGCACCCTGCATTTAGCCAAAGAGCTGGAGTGCAGAAAACTTGATTTCACTTAGGTGTTTCCTACTTGCCTCATCATAAGAATCCCCTGAAGATTCTGGATACTGTGGTTCAGTAATGTGGGATATGAGCCCGAGAACACACAGTCTTTAGAATTAGCAGACCAAGAGACAAATGTATTTGAAAAAAATAAATAATTAATTTAAAAATATATAACTACTATTAAAAAAAAAGAATTAGCAGACCATTATTAAGAACATGCACTTTTAACAAGCATGTCACATGATTATTAAGTTAAGGCAAGATTTGCTGTGATAAGTAATTTCAGCTGTCTTCTCTGAACCCCGCCTTTCTCACCAACAGAATCAAAGATCTGACTAGAAGGATAGTCTGCTTCCTAAGTCATGTCTGTGATTTTGTGATTCCTGTTTTCTCCTGATGTGAGAGAGAAACATCAAAATCCTACCTTCTTGCATGTGTGACCGGGGATCAAACTCAACAACCTGGGCATGTGTCCTGGCCAGAAATCGATCTGGGGACCTTGCGGTCTACGGGACAACGCTCCAAGCAACTGAGAGACACCAGCCAGGGCAATTTATCACAGTGTGTTTAGCTAGAGAAACATGTCCCACTACTTGTGAGGACACAGTTGTCCAGCAACAAGGAATGTCTAACAGGCAGCAAATGAGTGTTGGTTGCTCCGTCCTTGACCTGCGAATTTTTTTCTTTGGCTGTTAGGGAATGGGTGATTGGGAACTATTAGCACACTTACCTGTGGGTTGTCGTGTTCCAAGTCTTCCCCTGTTTTCTGGGAGAATAAAAGGTATTTCTTAGACTCCACAAAATGACAGCCAGTAATTGACATGAGTTGACTCTGGTTTGGGGTTTTTCAGAGTTGGGCGGGGAGGGGTGGGCCTCTCAGGAACAGAAGCATAATGGCAGTCTGGAGTACCAAATTCATCCTTTCAAAGTTACTTTCTTTTAGGTGAATTTAATTCTTTAAGTTTGGGTCACTCGTGAATTAATGAATTCCTGTTAAGCAGGGTTTACCTTTAGAACACCTTTAGGGTATATAGCTTATTAAAACTGTTTAATGTATATGCTATTTTGAATGGTACATCTAATTGTGGTCCATGGTGTTTAATATATTTTAGAAACTTGATGGCTTCTACAGGGAGCCAGGCCTCTGATACAGACAACATTTTTGGATTCTTCAGTGATGGCGCACCCCCCCCCACCAAAAAGCCCAGGTAAATAGGGGAGGGGAATCTGAGGAGCGAAGCGCATTACCAGTGATGGTAGTTCACAAAAGATCACAGACCTGCTCTGTAGCCTCGTAGTTTTCACTAATTAATGTTGCCCTTTATGTAAAATTAAATTTCTTTTTTGGATCTAATTTTATTTTTTATCAAGATCATGAATGTACATAGTTTTAGAAGCCAGTACTTCAAGGCTCACGATGCCTCACTCATTCCCCCTCAGACACTGTCACTTTCAACTTCTTTATGCGTTTCTCTTGTAGTTACATCCGTGTTTTTAAATGCTGTGTGTACTGCTATATTTCAGTGTTTTGGTTTTATTACTATCTATTTCCGGTTATGGAAGATGAGAATTATGCTTGCTTTCATAGATCTCCCTCCTTGTCTCCCCCCCCCCCCCCCCCAGTATGTTGTATATCACGTTTTTTTGGTTCTTTTTAATATTTACATTACATGGCTTTATAAATAATATTCTTAGATGATCCTAATAATGTGTTATGGTTATATTTCTTGTCCATTTTTGCCTCGAAGTTATTAAAGATTGCCTCTTTTTTTTTTTAATTTAATTTTTGGTTCACTTTGTTTTCTGTGTTCCTGTCAATTTATCTTCAAACTCTGTGACAAAACAGTCAGTCTCCTAGACACACTGACACCTGAGTAACGCACTAGTTATATTTGTTCCGTGGATTCTTCCTCTGGACTGTGCTCCCCTCTGAGCAGCTCCTCTCATGCTGACTGTGCCATTTTTCCTTTCCTGTCACCCTGAGGATTCCTCATTCGTCCCTCCGGCATTGGATCCTATTTCCTGGATCTCATGTCTGTGTGTGTGTGTGTGTGTGTGTGTGTGTGTGTGTGTACTTCATTTAGCTTCCTCAGTTCGCTGACTGTGCCATTTTCCTTTCCTCTCACCCTGAGGATTCCTCATTCGTCCCTCCGGCATTGGATCCTATTTCCTGGATCTCATGTCTGCGCGCGCGTGTGTGTGTGTGTGTGTGTGTGTGTGTACTTCATTTAGCTTCCTCAGTAAGGATGCATAGGAGAAAAGTGTTTGGAAACATTTGAAAAATGCCTTTACTGTACACTTAAATTTATTTGATGATTTGGCAGAGTGTAGAATGTTAGGCAGGAAATTGTTTTCCTTAGAGTTAAGAAGTTATTGCTCATTCTCTGCTAACTCCTAAGTGTTTCTGCCAAAACAGCCCCTCTATGCTGATTCCTGGTCATTTGTGTTATATGACCTCTTTGTGTTTTTTTTTTTTTTATTAGAAGCTTGTAAGGATGGTTATTGTCAGTAACCTCAAAATTTATCAATACATCATTGTGAAATTTTCAGGTTGCTGAGAGTAAAATCATCTAGTTATCAGGTGTTTGTCCCTTTTTATAGCATTCTGTTCATGTTTTATAGATGTATTTTGTGAATCTCTATGAAGATGTCATTGTTTTCTTCTCAGTTTTTCTTCTCTTTCCTTTATTGTCTCTTGTTTCCTCCAAGTTCAAGTTTATCTGCTAGTTTTGTTTTGGTGACATGTTTGTGTTGTGGCCTTTGCCCAAATATAAGGCGACCTTTATACGTCTGCTTATATTTAAAAAGCCAACCAGAGATTGTGTGTGTGCCTAAGGGGCTTGGTCGCTGATGGGCCTCACTGCGGGTATCAAGTACGGGGCAGGCTCCCCCCTGTGAGCAGCTGGGGGCGTCTCCTCTGGGGCTGGCCATTTCCCCCTTGAAGGAGTCCTCCAGCCTCCTGACCGAGTGGGGAATGGGGCACAACTATAAGGCTCACTGCCGGTGTGTGGCAGCCTTCCTCTGGGAGACGGGGGCTGGGGAGAGTCTTCTGTTTCATACACAGACCTTTCCTTGCACAGTGTTCTCACATTGAGAATCCTCTGGTTCAGCCTTTCTGGAAGGCAAGCTCCAGTCTCAGAATTCTGCCCACTTGGTACGGCCTTGCCATGAATTTGCCTGTTTGGGCCCTGCCAGCCCCCCACCTTCAGGTACTCCCGGACAGCCCCAGGGTTCTGCAGAGGGCAGCAGCTCTGACCCTACGGCTTCTAAAGTTGTGGCCACCTCTGTTGTCTGCTCTCAGCGTTGCCAGTTCCACTTTTTATGAATTGATGTCTTCTAAAAAAATTTAATATTATTTAGTGGTTTTAGAAAGAACCAGAGATGAAAAGCAACTGAAATTTTTTCTTTTTAATTGAAAGTCTTAAATTAGGAAAACATACCTCAAATCTATAATGTAGGAGGTAAAAATTTCAAACAGTACAGCACAATCAAGTGAAAAGTAAAATTTTTTTCTCCCCAGTCCCCAGAGTGAACCACTATGTACAGTTCTTGTAAATCCTTCTAGAAATTTTCTGAGTCTATATTTGTGTTTGCTTCACTGTCTTGATTCCCTTGAACTGAAAATCATTTTTCATCACTTGCTTCTAATACCTAATACCATCTTTTCCAATAAAATTGTGAGATTAGGAGCTCCATTTTGCTCATAAATACATCCCTGGTGCCTATGATACAGTGTCTGGTACTTTATACATTTTTCATATTTGTTGAACGACTGAATGCAGGAGTTAGGGATAGGGAAGTTATTTACTGTTTTCCCAAAGCTTAAAGTGTTGTTCTTTCTTAGGTTATGCCAAAATGCTGATCCTGTTTCCCTTTATTTTATTGTTTGGACAGAAGGTTGACAAAGACAGTTTCTTGGGGGAGAAAAATATGCCTCAGCAAAAAGTAAAGCATATCAGTATATTTCAAACAGATTGGATTATAGCCTGCAGAATGAAGGGGGTGGAGAACAAAACACAGAACCTGTGCCCGGTCTGTCTCGCAGGGACACGTCAGGACAGAACTCTGTGCTCACCCTGGTGAGAAAGTGATGGTTTTCACTTTATGTCATATCCATTGAAGAGTTATTTCTATGTTTATGTAGGTTCTTGAGGCTCCTCCTGTGTTTTTAGAATTCTCTTGGCCACTTTTTTCTTTCCCTTTGGCCTGAGGACACCCAGACCAAATTGAAGGCAAACTTGTTCCCACGTTTGACTGTCCTGCTCAATTTTAGTCAAGCTCATTTTTATCTTAATAATGTTCACAAAATTTGGGCTTAACATTTTTCATTGGCCGCCTTTCGTCTCCTGCTTTGTTTCTCAACAACAGTAGTTAGATTTGTATGGGGTTCTGTTCTCTCAGGAATCTACATCAGACATGTTCTTTGAAATATAATGCTGGTTTAAAATATAACGTAGCAAAACTCAGCTGAGTTGTAATATAATTGGAGTTTTTCCTGGTATTAGTGGGTTTTCTTAGATTGAGAGGTCTGTGAAGAAGAAAATTGATTTTAAGATGCCTTTTTAGGATTCCTGAAAAAGGTTTATGACTGTTTTTCAGCAGGCTGGCACAGCACTCTGGTCTTTGTGCATAAGCTGTTTTGGAGAGGTGTCAGAAACTGGCACTGGCCATCTTTGCAGCTATAAAAGTCACAGCTGAAAACTGTGGTTTTAGACAGTCTGTCTGTGTGCCCCGTATCTGTTGGATGTTCCCCATCCTCTCTTTTGTTAACTTTTTTAGGAAGCTACTTCCAAGCTTAAAAAGTAAGAAGCCTCAGGAGCTCGTGCTGGTGATCGGGACAGGCATAAGTGCTGCGGTAGCGCCGCAGGTGCCAGCCCTGAAGTCCTGGAAGGGCTTGATTCAGGCCTTGCTGGATGCTGCCATTGATTTTGATCTTCTAGAAGATGAGGAGAGCAAAAAATTTCAGAAGTGTCTCCACGAAGACAAGAATCTTGTTCATGTTGCCCATGACCTCATTCAGAAACTCTCTCCTGTGAGTACCCTGTCATTTGAACTTTGCCAAAGCCATCTGATGCATGTGAGTGGGATCAGATATTCATTTCCAGCATGTAGATTTGCATAGCATTTGCCTCTTCTGCAAAATATCTGTTGATGGATCTCATTCATGGTGTTGTCTTTTGATCCCATTTTAGTATGTGGTATATTTGTGTGTGCGCGTGTATGTGTGTTTGTGTGTGTGTGAGAGAGAGAGTGTGGTGATGACTACGATGATGTTGTTGTTGAGGCCTTTCTGTGTAAAAAAATGAGACCACTGTTCCATTGTGGCTGTATTTTGAGTTTACTTTTTCTGCACTCACTACTAAAAAAGCTGTGTTCACTGGCATTCATGCTTTTTAGGAAACGTCAGAAAGATTAGGGATAGTTCTCATTTTATGGATGAAGCAATACAAGTTTTTAAGGTTCTTTTAAAGGCAGTCACTCAAAATACTTATAAGGAATTTTGTCTTGCTTGATCAAACTGAGTTGGATGCCAAATTCCTAATGGCTAAAGAGCCTCCTTGTCTTGTTCTGTCTTATAAATGTCTTAAAAATAAGGATTTACTTAAATATTTGGAAATAATAGAATAGCCAAAGTATAAGTCAAGTGCACCTTAAATATGTATGTGTATGAACTGTTACTCCTTGAAGAGTTAGTTATCAGTGTTTACCTGCCCCCTCCCCAACCCACGCAGTCCTAAGTCCTATAGGAAAGAAGTGTCATGAAGAGTTAGCCTAAAAGACATGGATTTAAAAGTAATTTCCTCCGGGTTCATGACTCATTTTAGAAACTTAGGGCCTTTTTTCACTTCTTCTTTTCATTTCCTTGTCCTTAATTGGGATAAGTTGTTACTAACTTAGAACAATGTAAAGAATTAACAGGCTGTAAAGAGCTCATGGTACCTTCATCTTATACCATATACAGAAATTAACTCAAAATGGATTAAAGACTTAAATATAAGAGATAAAACTATAAAACTCTTAGAAGAAAACAAAGGTCTAATACTTTATGACCTTGGATTTGGCAGTGGTTTTTTAAACATGACACCAAAAGCACACACATGTAACAGAGGAAAAAGCAGATAAACTGCACTTCACCAAAGTTAAAAACTGTTAGGCTCCAAGAACACTACCAGGAAAGTGAAAATACAGCCCCAGAATGGGAGAAAATATTAGCACTTCATATATCTCGTAAGGATGTAGTACCCAGAATATATAAAGAACTGTTCCATTTTAACAGTAAAAACGCTAATTCAGTTCAAAAATGGCAAAATATTTGAATAGACATTCCTCCAAGGAAGATACACAGTTGGTCAATGAGTACATGAAAAGATGCATGACATCATTAGTCATTAGAAAAATGCACATTAAAACCACATGAAATACCATTAGGATGGCAGGAATGGAAAAGTCAGTAAGTGTAGGCAAAGATGCAGAGAAATAGGAAGCTCCATACACTGCTGGGGATGTGAAATGGTGCAGATAATGTGGAAGACAGTCTGGCAGTTCCTCAAGTAATTAAATATAGTTACCATATGACCCAGCAGTTCCACTTCTAAATATATATACCCAAGAGAAATGAAAACATATGTTCATAATAAACTTGTATGTGAATGTTTATAGCATGACTCATAGTAGCCAAAAGGTAGAAATAACCCAGATGTCCATCACCTGTCAAATGGGTAAACAAAATGTGGCATATTCATACAATCGAGTATTGACCATAAAAAGGAATTAAGTACTAAGAGATGTTACAACATGAACAGACTTTTAAAACATTATGCTAACTGGAAGTCAGTTGTGAAAGACAACATATTAGATGATTCCATTCATAGAAAATGTCCAGAACAGGCAAATCCATTAGGGGCAAGGAAGTAGTTGCCTAGGGCTGGCGCAGGGCTGGAGGGCAGAGGGATGGTAAGTGGTGCAGGGGCTTTTTTGAGATGATCAAAATGCTGTAAAGTGGACTGGTGACAGTTGCACATATTGGTAAATCTACAAATAATCATTGAACTGTACGGGTTACATAGGCAATTTGTAGGCTATGTGAATTGTATCTCAATAAAGCTGTAAAAATAAAGCTAAAAGGTATATGATTCAGTAGAAAGTGAGAGTAGCTATATTAGTATCTGTTAAAGTACACTTGAGCAGAGAGGAAGGAAAATGTATTTTTTTAATGTCCCAAAATATATGAAATTATTGTCATATAAAAGGTAATTTAAGAGTATAGATACAAAAAATGTAAGGGATTAAAATATTAAAGATGTGTGTGAACCAGTTTATTAATAAAAATGCTATTTTTCTGGAAAGAAAAGAAAAAAAAAAGAGCTCATGATGGAAAGAAGAAGTACTAGTCCCAAAAGACTAGATGTTAAGAAGTCGAATTTCAGACTAGGACCCTGCAGTTTTGCTTTGCCACCCTATTATCTTGTCTGTAGTTGTCAGTTATCCATTCAAAAGATCTCCTGAGAAGGGAAAACATAATTTCCCTAGTTTGGGATTAGTTATAATTGAAAGTAATGAGAAGATTTAAAGTCAGTGTCACTAAATATATACCAACCAAATATGTCAAAGTAAGATCACTACCTATCTGTGGATGATGATTTATCATTGACCTTAAATTATAGTTGTAGAATAGTGTCAGTCCTAATAGAGTAGCAATTGTTAAACTTTTTTGGGTCAAGACTCCAAAATTAAAAATTAAAATTGAGAAAGTTTTAAAATAATTCATTTTAAAACAATAGTAAACTTATTATATGTTAACATGAATGTTTATGAAAAATAACTTTTTTTAAAACAATTTGTGAGAAGAGTAATAATTCACAATTTTGCAAATCTCTTAATGCCTGGCTTAATAGAAAACAGCTGGGTACTCATACCTGCTTTATATAGTCAGTCTGTTATATTTGTGTTGGTTTGGTTTAATATAAGTAAAAAAAAATCAGGTCCCACAGATGCATAGCTGGAAAAGAAAGAAGTATAGATATTCTTTGTTTATACTACACCAGAAATTCAGTAAGTGGTGGCTTCCTAAAGATTAATAACAATATGGATACTTCCAGTCAAGATGGCAGCATAAGCGGACATGGCTCACTTCTTCGCACAATCACAGCCAAATTACAACTAAAATGTAGACCACCCATCTCTCAGAACTGACATAAATTGAGTTGAATGGAAGTCTGACAACTATGGATTTAAAGAAACCACATCCATCTGCAATGGTAGGAGAGGCAGAGATGTGGAACAGGCTGGTCCCATATCCATGTGTGGTGGGTAAAAATTTGGGAGGAATATCTTGGAGGAGTCCTGGCCCAACTCCAAGCCCCCCAGCCCAGGGTTCCAGTGCCAGGAAGATAAGTCCCCACAACTTCTGGCTGCAAAAACCAGCGGATTGAGTCAGTGGAAGAAACTGCTGGAGCCCCAGGCATTTCCTCTTAAAGAACCACACACAGACTCACCTACTCAGGCTCAGTCCCTCTGAGCTGCGGCGACGGGGTGGCAGCCTGAGGGGCACCTGTGGTGTGCAGGGGGAGACTGAGGTGTCTGGTACCAAGGAGAGCAGAGGCCTTTGTCCCTTTTCTGGGCCCTTCCCCCATAGAGCCAGCACACTGGTGCCATATCTAAGATTCCATAAGCCTGGCTAACACTGTTTGACCCACTTTGGAGATCCCTAGGTACTCTCCCCCCTGCCAAACGCCCCCCGCCCCCGCAACTTACAGGCCCACCCAAGCTGCTTTTCCATGTGGATGGTCTTGGTTTGCACTTCACTACTTCTTAAATCCTCTCAAACAAGCAGCAGCTGGCCTCAGTGAGCCCCAGACCCAGAACTAGCAGCCTAGATTCACAGCTTGGCCTCTCCTGGAAATCTCCAAGCGCAGCACAAGTAGCAGCCATCTCAGATGGCTTTATACCTCAGGCAGGGTGGCCCGGGCAGAACAGAGGTGGGGGCTGACCTTGGCCTGCACCACCCAGGAAACCCCAGAGCCTGTGCACCCAGTGGACAGCTACAGACCACCACACCTGCCCCTGCCCAGATGATCCCTCATGGAGGGTGAAGGTCAGTGGTAAGTGGTAAGTCCTTGCAGCTGACTGGCCTGGGTAAATCCCTCCCATTGATCTGCCAACAGCAACCAAGACTCAACTACAAGAGGAGGGTGTACTCAGCCCACACGAAGGGTGTACCTCAAACACCCAGCTTGAGTGATAGGGGAGGCTGTGCCACTGGACCCTGCAGGACACCTACTACATTAGGCCACACTGCCAAGACACGGAGTCAAAGCAGCTCTACCTAACACATAGAAATAAACACAGGGAGGCTGCCAGAACAAGGAGACAAAGACACATGAAAGAACAGATCAAAACTCCAGAAAAAGAGCTTAATGAATTGGAGATAAGCAATCTACTAGATGCAGAGTTCAAAACCCTGGTTATAAGGATGCTCAAGGAACTTAGTGAAGACCTTAACAGTGTAAAGAAAATCCAGTCAAAAACAAAGGGTACATTAATTGAAATAAAAAACAATTTATAGGAAACAACAGTAGAGCAGATGAAGCTGAGAATCACATCAATGATGTGGAACAAAAGGAAGCAAAGAACAACCAATCAGAACAAGAAGAAGAAAAGAGAATCCAAAAAGACGAGGATAGTGTAAGCAGCCTGTGAAACAACTTTAAGTAATCTAAGATTTGCTTCATAGAGGCGCCAGAAGGAGGAGAGAAAGGACAAGAAATTGGAAATATATTTGAAAAATAATGAAAGAAATCTTCCATAATTTAGTGAAGGGAATAGACATGCAAGTCCAGGAAGCAGAGTCCCAAACAAGATGGATGCCCACCCTAAGACACATCAGAGTTAAAATGCCAAAGGTGAAAGATAAAGAGATGGGAGGGCGGGTATGGGAGAATGGGTGAGAGAGGTGAGAGGATTAAGAAGTACAACTAGGTGGTTACGGAGTAGCCTTGGGAATGTCAAGTACAGTGTAGGAAAGAGAGTAGCCAAAGAATTTACTGAACGAGGTGGGGGGATTGCCTGAGGGAGGGGGCGGTGCTGGGTGGAGGGAGGATAAGGGGGGGGAATCAGGACAACTGTAATAGCATAGTCAATAGAATAGAAAAAATTTTTAAAAAGATTACTAACAATATGGAACCTGAAGTCAAATCATATCCATATTAATGGTTATCTGAATTTGACCTTTTTCCATTCTGTTGCATTAGGTAAATCCATCGGTCTATCTGGCACATAGAATGAATCTTTTACCCGTATGTGATTTTGTAACATGCATTGGTCATTTGGAAAATACTAGTTCACTGAGTTATACATGGCTTCCAAATGTTGAAACATTTCACTGCACAATAAAACAGTGCACCCTAATACTGCCACCAATCTCATCGCAGAGATTCGAAAACTGTCTAGCTCATTGTGGCAGATAAAAGTTTTCTAAAATGCCGATTTTTGCTTGAAACCTGAGATTTCATCATAGGCAACAGTGACAGCAATCAGTACTTGTTCATCATAGGCTCCTGTTGTTCATTTTTGAGAAAAATGCCTGAGAATACCCAAATCGGAATAACCGTCATTTGTCAGTCACTGAAGTAAAAGTGTTTGATGAAAAAGAAGATGGCTAGTTCAATTAACAGTTCAAATAATCACACAAGTGTTTTGCCTTGGAGACAGCCATCATACTTCAGTACACAGAAGTGCTTTGTGCAGATTTCCTGTTTCTTCCTACAGAATATTAGAAGGACAAGGTACTCAGGAGTCAAGATTTAATACAGTTAATTTTTTACTGCGTCATGAGGGACATCCTTAAGTGAAACTGGTTTTTTCCATACTGAAAGTCTTCGGTAATGAAGAACACAATGGTTACTGGAGTTTGCCAGAGCCAAACTGACGACCGCGAGGAGCAAATGCTTTGAGAATGGCAGTTTTGCAGCTTATTTCATACATTAGAATCAAAGGAGGAGACATAAGCGGTTATGTGAAATCCATTGGTGACAGATTAGGGAGGCAGGACAAAGCAAAGCAGGGGGAATTTCTGGGGTTGGATAAAGAGTAAAACAGATACAGACACGCTTCTTTTCCATTGGTGGGTATGGGATAGTTGATAACACAGCACATAGAGATGGTGCGCGTGGGGGTGGTAGAGGTACAAGTTAACAATGAAGGGTTCTCTGGTCTCCTGCTCTTGTGGGGAGTTGCGCCCTGAGGAGTGTGGAAAAGGAGGATTACTCTGACCTTCCAAACGTCTGTTACCAGAGGAAAAAAAAAGAGACATGCTCAGTTAATGTAAATACTGACCTTTGCCCAGGAAACTACAGGCATGACTATGCGCTATGACTCACTTTCAGTTAGGAATTGTGATGTTCAGACCATCCTGTGTGGTTGCTTTCAGTGTCTGAGTTTGTAAGCCGGCCATACTGACCTCCCCTGAGCTTGTGAGGTTTGGTATGTGGCCTCTTTTGGTTTACATAAGAAATTAATAGTATTGCCTTTTTTTTTTTTTTTTTTTTTTAGCTTTGATAATGGTGTTGCTTGTTTTGTTTTATCTGTAAAGGGGAGTCCTCTTTTCGGGAACCTACTGAAGTATTGGATGAAATGATATGATACCTAGGAATCGCTTTGAAAAATGTAGTGAAGTGGGGAAGGGGGAAGGTGGATGGGATTTAGGTTAAACCAGATCGGCTGTGGTGTGATTATCGTTCAGACGGGGTGATGGGTATGTGGTGGTGGTTTTTAAATAATCTTTTTACTTTTGTGTAAGTTTGAAACTGTCCATATTAAAAACACACACAGACACACACAAGAATCTAACAACAGTAACATGGAGAGAGTTAACAGGCCCATCTACTGAGCCAGTTTCTTACAGCAGGGAAGTAAGTAACATTGTCCTCAATGCAGAGAGCATTCAGAATCAGAAAAAAATGCCATTTAAGGAAGCCCTGGGCAAATCGTTTTACTTCTCAGAATCTCTTGGCACCTATGAAACTGGGGTTTTGTGAAGAATAAGTGAGATAACGAATATAAAGTGTCTGGCACATAGTAAATGCTCTATAAGTGTTAGAATATAGGTGAAGGAGTCAGGTTTATGTTTGTTTTCACTTGGGGATCAGAAGGATGAGAGGCACAGGGCAGAAGGAAACGAAGCAGCATTGGCTTCAGTTTCCTGTTTGAAATGAATGAGAAAATATTCATGGAAGTTGTGTGGGAGTTCGGCATTTCCTTTTGACCGTGGAAATGCCTTTTGTTTTCATTCCTTTGTCCTGATTCAGAGAGGCCACTGGTGGGAAATTTAGTTCCGAGTCACCTGCTTCGAGAGATAAAAATGTTCATTTCTTTTTTAAGTCCAAAGAAATCAGTGAAATGACGGAAGAACCTCTTTTCTTCCTTTCTGTGTTGATACACAAAATGTAATATTAAAGAAATAGGACTGAAAGACAGCTAGCTAAAACAAGTGACTCGTGGCATTTATTTCCAGGCTTTAACCTTTTGTATTTCTTTTCTTAGAAGCAAGAAAATACATTCCACACCCATGATTAGCTGATTGTATACCCAGGCGTTTTCATCTGTGTGCATAATGATTAAACTGGTGCTTGAATATAGTGTTATATAACTGTGTGTGCATGAATTGGAGTCCAAAATAAGTTATAAAACACAAGAAAACTAAACATATTCTTAATTTTAAACGTAATTTTGCTTTTTTGAATAGGTATTGTTTATACACATTGCCCGAGTCCAAATGAGGTGAAAAGGTTTATGTGCATCACAGTGCCCCCCCCCCCCCCCCCGCATCGGTGCCTGCCTCCTCTCTGCCCAGGCTCGCCCCCCAATAGGTCCCCAGTCTTGCCAGCTCTTTGAGTGTCCTCCTTGTGTTCTTTCTGCAAAAAGAAGCAAACAGGACTATATTCTCATCTCACTGCCTTCATCCCCTGTGTCAACAGGTAGCACTCTAGGCACCCTGCCCTGTACCCCCTTTGTTTTGCTTACCAGGGTGTCCTGGCAGTCTTCCCATGCCAGCCTCCTGTGTGTGCGCGCTGGGCTTCTCTCCGTCTCCTACTGTTGCAGATAACCAAGCAGTGGTAACCTTGTATATGTCATTTCATTTGTTTGCAATTACATCTGTGGGATATATTCCTAAAAATGGAACTTCAAAATTATAAGGTAAATGAATTGTAATTTTGATAGACATTAAAGGGGCACTGTATTTTTCATAACAAACAGAAAAGTGCCTGACATTCAATAGTAATTGACTCTTGTATGTAGTGAAAATCAATAATTGAGGTTATAAATTCTTCACTGTTTATTACTGATCAGAGTGCTCTTTTTTTTTTTATTGTATATCCAGGTGTTTCTTTCTTTGTGCATAATGACTAATAACTGGTGCTTGAATATAGTGTTATATAACTGTGTGTGCATGAATCAGAGGCTAAAATGAAGTTATAAAACACAAGGAAGACCTTTAAATAACTGTATTTACTTAATTTTAAATTTGTTAGAGTCCTCTGTTGGTTGTCTGTGGGCTGCTACAATATGTGATGGAATTATTTGTGCCCTTATGTAATGAGAATGGACCAAAGTTAAAATACATTCTTAGCCACATAAATTATGGGCCATGTATATTTAGCACTGGAAAAGAATCTTTGAGCCCCCTGACAACAGGGTGCAGTGAGGAGCCTGTCTAGTAGTAGGTGTCACATGGACCAGGGACTGACATCTGAGCGTGTCACCACCACGGAGAGGCACTGTTTCACCTCTGCTCAAATTTTTCTTCTGTGGATGTATTTGATCAGCATAAATAATTGATAATTTTATAATATACTTTGAAAAAGGAGGAAAAGGATTTGGTAAATTGAAGTATGTTTTATGAATCTGCTTCCATGGTTCTATGGAAACAGGTCTTTATCTTGAGCATTGCTTATTAGAAATATGCACAAAGAGAACCAGAAAGGGAGGGAGACCAGCATCTAGCAGCAAAGCTCAGGGACTTGGGAGTTTGAATGGGGAACACTGGGGCCTTTCTGACATCACCTAAGGCGATGATATTGCAGGAATAGATAGGGAGCAGGTCTGTATTACAGCATATTACAGAGCCACTTTCCCTTTCAGATTCCTTTTGTTCCAGGGGCCACTTTATCTTTCCACCTGAGATTGGTATTGTGTTTCCTCATTAGTCCACAGAGATATTTACATATATTCAGAATGAATCTGGGAAAGCAGTTATTTAAATAAACCATATGTTAAGAAATAGGGAATCTGCTTAGAACTGACATTTGGTATTTTTAACAGTTGAAAAATGAAGATGTTTGAGAGCCTTTCTAAATACTAAATATTCTTCCTAGTAATACTAAGTATTCTTCCTGTAAACAAATCGCTAAATTATGCAAGGGAAAAAAAACAGGCAGGGAGAAAGTAAGTTTTTCCATAGCATCCATAGCATAAACATCCAAATCCGTAGGCAGCTGTAAAAAACTCCTGGGATTAGAAAAAGAGGTGCTAAACAACATTTAGAGGTGTCTCATATTAGTTATTCCCTAGTTAAAGATTACAAAAGTACGTATTGTTTTCTTTCCTAGGGGCAAATTAGAGGGCAGTTGGTGCTGTGCTCTCTCCCCCAGCATTGCAGTTAGCCCTGGTAGTAACTGACATCTCTTGGCCATGCCCATTTCTTCATTCTGTGAAAGTGTCTGTTTGCAGAGCTGGTGCTTGTTTGCATGTGATGTAGTAGTGCGATGCTCCTGGGCATTGTGCTGGGAACTTTGCATGTATCATCCTGTTTTCCTTATAACCTGTGAGGTAGGCAATATAGTAACCCTTATTTTAGGAACAAAGTATCTTTCAGAAAATTGCTATTACTGTTACTAAGGCAAATGATGTACCAAAACACCTCGCATTAATTTTTCTCTTTCAACTCCCTCCCCAGCGTACTAGTAATGTTCGATCCACGTTTTTTAAGGACTGTTTATATGAAGTATTTGATAACTTGGAATCGAAGATTGAAGACTCTGGGAAACAGCTGCTACAGTCAGTTCTCCACCTGATGGAAAACGGAGCCCTGGTGTTGACTACAAATTTTGACAATCTCCTGGAACTGTATGCAGCAGATCAGGGAAAACAGCTTGAATCCCTTGACCTTACTGATGAAAAAAAGGTAAAAAGTAAAGCATTAGTCTATGCTTCAGGCTCATGGAGAAAACCTGTTTTCTGGTTGGTACAGTGTGTAGTACTTGCATTTATGGAGAGGTAGAACAGAAGCTTCTCCCAGGCTGGAGTTTGTTTGGGTTTTTTTGAGATAAAATCAACCTACAGTAAAACTCACAGATCTTAAAAGAGTTCAGTTTCTGAGTTTTGACAGTTTCACCCAATTTTAAAGCAAGAAGCAGGAAGTCATTTGAACTATATGATCTCTGTAATACCTGATATTATCAGGTGAGTATAACGTTGACTTAGAATTTTGTCTTAGAATATGTTCTTTATGCCAACTTCATCTGGAAATGAATGAAAACTACATTATGACTCTGGAAGACCACCTTGTGTCCGATGTTTCTTTCTCTCTCTCTTCTCCTTTCCTCTCTCTCAAATTACTAAATATAAATTTTTTTAAATAAATGATTGAATGAAAATCAGAAATTAATGGCTAGAAAGTGTCTGCACTGTTTCTGATATAATCCTAAAGAGCTTGCCCAGCATTAGAAGCATCAGGCCTTTTCAAAGTGAAGGATACCTATCAGGACATTTTCCCTCTCATTTTCATCCTGGATTGCCAAGATTTATTTTGTATTTTTAGTCCACATTAGGGGCAATATTAAAGTTTAATAGTTAAAGCCATTGACTGGTAGTCAGGATGGGGCCTAATAATATTCAAATTTTAAATCCCTGTGTCTCTTGACTGTTTTTCCAAATTCATACCTTATTACTCTAGGATGTTACATGAATAAATTTTACTGTCGCGAGTCCTTGGGAAAATGGAACTATGGAAGTCAGGTGGCGGTCTGAATGATTAATCTTCATTGGTAGCTTTTTAGGTAACTCAAGTGACTGAACTGATAGCTTTACTGTTCATCATTTGCTGCACAAGAAACCACTCTGAAACTTTGTGGCTTAAAACAACATTTTATTTCCCCACAGTGATGGGAATTAGTCTTTTGAGCCGTGCTCAGTGGGCAGGTCTTTCGCTGGTTATGCGGTTACCGTCGTGCCTGCAGTCATCTGGTGGCCAGGCCACAGCTGGCCGGGCGGCAGAAGACGGCCTCGCGTCTGTGCCTGCCGTTGCAGACAGTTGGCTGGACCCTGCATCTCTGACAGGCTAGCCCAGGCTTCTACACAGGGCAGCTGGGTTCTAAAAGCAGCAAGAGAGAAATAAGACTCATTGTGCCAACCTTTTTTTAAGCTTCTGTTCGCGTTGTGTTGATTGATGCCCTGGCTGAAGCAAGCCATGAGGCCAAGTAAGTGTGAAAAGGGACTACACAAAAAGCTTGATTTCTTGGGGATTGTTCCTGAAACAGTCATTTGTTTCTCTCATGGGTGTCCCCAGTGGAAAGGGCCCCTATCGTTTCTGCAGTGATGACAAATACATTCTAGTTTTTGATTGTTGCTTTCCATGTGGTATCACCGGACTTGCTGCCATCAGTCCTAACAGTCATGCCTGAGATGGAAGCTGAAGCCACATCAGGTTTTGCCCTCTTGCTCTGTGATATATCATGAAACTAGAGAGTTACGTCAGAAGCCTTGACATCTTGCCCATTGGGACCTTGAAGCCAGTGTTCAGCCCTGCCACCCAGGTTGAGCTGTATTTGTGTTGTGCAGGTCCTGGAGTGGGCACAAGAGAAGCGGAAGCTGAGCGTGTTACACATCCACGGGGTCTACACCAATCCTAGTGGCATCGTCCTTCATCCCGCTGGGTATCAGAACGTGCTCAGGAATGCTGAGGTCATGGTGAGTGGTGCCGATCTTGCTGGTCTTCCTGGGAAACCTCTTAAGTGTTCCATTGGTCTTCAGGGGGTGACATTTTCTTTTCATTGATTAAAAGTTGGAAGGTCACATTTTGTGTCCTGTGCCCTCAGCCTGTTGGTATGCATGCCATCTTAGGAAATGTACTCTCCAGGTACCAAGCTGTGCGGTTTTTGTTTGCTGTTGGGTGACAGCTAACTGGTGGCACTTGGTCATGGTCACCATCTTCACAAATGAAAAGTACATTATTTCCCTTATTTATTGTTTGGTTTATCATAGTATTAATAACTCTCTCTCTGCCAATAATAATTTATGTAGCTTTTTATTGACCCAGTAGCTACTAAAGCATACATTCTAAAGTACTTTTGTGTAAATGATGATGGGTTTGTATTGAATTACCACACTTACTCAAACTTACTGCTCAGTGGGAAAAAATTTGGATGAGGTGATGAAGAGGAGTTTATCTTCTTTGTTGATCTTCGGAGATGTAAGTTTTAGACTTGCTCACACATGTATCTTCGAACCCAAAACCTCTCCCATGCCAGTCATATGTGGGAGTAATTCATTGGCCCCCAACTCTGAAACCAGTATATACTAGCAATTTCAGGTCTGGGTCACTTAGAATGATTGTATCTACGTGATGTGGCAAAAGACAGACCATGAGAGAAAGTGTAAAAGCCTTCTTTTTTCCCCACATACTGTTTCCCTGACATCTGTTGGAACTGCATTCATCACTGACACTGAGTGATCACTTAAGCAAAATAATTTCTAATGTACTTATATTTTAAGCAAGAAGCAGGAATTCATATTAATGTTTTCATAATAATGTTTTCAGTATCAGACTTCCCTAGAGAAAATCTGGTGATGAAATTATCTTCACTGGTTCAGTTTCTAAGGCAAATATAGTCCAGAAAATGAAAAGAGTTAAGATATAGTGAAGACCTACTGGTTGCCTTATGGCCTTTGGGCACATCGTTCTATGCAATAAACTGCAAGGTCACTAGACCCGTGCTAACCCAGAGAAACCCTGAATAGAGAGCCAGCAGGAGAATGCCAGGTAGGGATAAGCTGTAGACCAATCCTCAAGTTATAGTAATAAACAAGAAGGAGGTCAGATTTGGGGACTTATCTGTTCTTTAAAATCTTGGTTCAATGGGGACCACAGTTTTTTAAAGGGAGCGGTTTCAACGATGGCCCTGTTGACTTCTTTATTTCAGACAGGCCTTGCGTGTGTGTTCATGGCGTTGTTAATATGTTGTTTCTTTTCCTGCAAGAGAGAGATTCAGAAACTGTATGAAAACAAGTCATTTCTCTTCCTGGGCTGCGGCCAGACTGTGGATGACACCACTTTCCAAGCCCTCTTTCTGGAGGCTGTCAAGCACAAATCTGACTTAGAACATTTCATGCTAGTTCGGAAAGGAGATGTGGATGAGTTCAAGAAGCTTCGAGAAAACATGCTGGACAAAGGGATTAAGGTTATCTCCTATGGCAGTGAATATGCTGACCTTCCAGAATACTTCAAGCAGCTGACCTGTGAAATCGCCATGAGGGGCCGATCAGGTGAGAGGCACCCTGAGGCCAAAGGGTCTGAGAGCAGCAGCTCGTCAGCCCTGCGTGTATGTGTCACGGGTGGAATCATTACCAAGATGAGGCTGAGGTGTATCATCCTAACCAAACTGGGGGCGAGATTGGGTTTGGTCTGCAGGCTTGACCTAACGTGGTGTTTGGATAGGAGGAAAATAGGCAGGTCGAGTACAGAAGTGGGGAAAAATAAAAAAAAAAATTCAGCCTCATTAGTTATCGCTGAGATGTGATTAGAATTTAGATTTCAAAATAGAAAAGAATGGTGACTCAATTTTGGCTGTAAGGGAAAAAACACATTCATGTTGGAGTATGTTCAAACTTTTCAAACCTTCGACCCAGAAATTCCATTTGATACAATTAATTTTAGGAGAAATTTCTTATCAATGTTGTATATAATGGAAAATATTGGAAGCAACCTAAAATGTTTTACTTAATAGGGAAATCTGTAAATACTCCAGTATTTATTTAATTGATAAAATACAGTGAAGCTACAAAAGGGGAAATGTTTTTATTGTCCAAAAAGATGTCAGAGACATAATATTGTGAGTGAAGCGGAGGAAGCAGGTTGGAAGACACCGTGGTCAGTCGGTCCCATTCATAGAAAATTATAGACACTCTTTTTTGTTTGTGTGTATAATAGAGAAATATCTGCAATCATGGTTACTAAATTAACTGTGGTTATCTTTACATTCTAGGACTTAAGGGTTTTAAAAATATATTTTGTTTCTGTGTTAGCATTTTCTGTTGTACAGTGATTACACACGATCTTTATAAAAACAGGTGGAAAAAACACGCACTTTCAGATGCCCTTTGGAAAGTGTTATGGTGGTGGTAAAGTCAGAGGTTGGGGTGCCCCTCACTCTACATTTTACATCTGGCTTCTAATAAGAAAGCCAAGTGGGGATTAAAGGTTCAGTGATTAATGGTGCCAGGCAAGTCCAACAACCCTACAAAAATATGAAACTTTATGGTATCAACTAAATTGAAGAGTGCTTTTTAAAACCTTACTTTGAATAAAGCCAGGCCCCAGGACATGACCATTCTGACCCAACACCAGATTCTAAACAAACTTTGCTGTTGTACTTTAGATTATATACTCGAAAAGTTTCACATTAATGTGGATTTTCATCGTCAACCTGAATCTGTCTTAGGCTGCCTCGTAAAGGACAGGTAATTTAATAGAGAGAGAACTTTTCCTACATCTAATAATCATTCCCAGCTTTTTTTTCTGAATCAGGTCGCTCTAAGTGGAATTCTTTGTAATGAGAAATTCCACAAGCTCTTATCGCCGTAACTGGACACTGAAAACCATGTCTTCTCTTTCTCCAGAAGACAGACCTTTCGGTTTCTCTCTTGTGAGAACAGTTTGTAGTTCTTTCTTGGGGAGGTGCTTTCTGCCACCCCGCAGTGTTTGATCTTTATGCTGTTTAGCCAACCCTTAGGACTTTCAGCAGGTTTTCCTACGGAACACCTTCCCTTTTCATTAAACAAGAGGTACATACCCAAACTCAGTGTATTTCTTTTGGTCTCCTTCTGCTATCTTCTACTGAGGGAAGATGCTAAAATTGAAAATCACAAAATCCCTCTGGACAGCTGTTCCTATTACACTCAACCCTTTCTTGACAAAACTCATCTGAAGTGATACAAATGCTTTTTTAACTGTGTAGGCTTCCTACTAGAGTGGCTTTCCCCAGAGTTAGCACTAGTTAGGCATTCGGAATTTTTAAAAATCAAGAATTTTCAATAGGGCCTAGGACTTTATTAAAATGGTTAGCTGAGTTAGTTTGTGACTTGAAATCTAGCGGAGCAGTTATGGGTTAAACACATTTCATTCTGAGACAAGTCAAGTTTATCTGCCGTGGTTGGTTATGCTTGGAGTCTGTAGGTGCATGCCGATAAGAGGTGTTCTGTTGTTTTGTGTAGTGCTGAGTGTTTGCTCTGTGCCTGGTGTTGTGCTGGGTACTCATTTAGGCGTAGTGAAAATTATTTGGGTTCAGAAGAGTGTAAGATACTGTACATTTATTTCAGAAAAATCAAGTAATGAGGAAAAGAAAAATAATTATTTTATAATTCATTACCATCATACAGGTGGCTATTTTGGTATATTTCCAATTAATTTTTCCTGTGCATTTACAGTCTGGGTACTTTTTAGTCAATGGAATTTCATACAAAGCTACAGGCTTTGTAACTGGTTCAAGGTTCCTGTGCCCTATGCTTCAAAGGCCAATAAAAAAAATCAGAGTTTGGAGAAAAGAAAGATTTATTGATCAAGAAGGTGGAGGGGGGCATCTTAAGGATTCGGCAAACCCATATGAAGAGAGCCTAGAATTCAAGCATCCTTTATGTCCAGGGAAAGGAGGAGGGGCCCGGACAGCTAGACATCCCAAGGGAGTCAGGGAAAAGCATGAAATCTCCAGATCTCTTTGTCTCTGGTCAGTACATGGAACACCGCCTCCCTCCTCGACGGCTGAGTCCAGTCTTGAGACTCCTGTAAATCTGTGATAAACAGTCATTATTTTGTACATATTTCCCCACCTATTTGGGAAGTACTTTCTGACAAGGGGCTGTTCTTGCAAAGGCTCAGGCCTCACACATAATTCCTCTAGTTAGCATATCTGTAGCTGGAGCTCTAAGCTGAAGCATGGAAGAAATGCAGCCAAGAATTAAAGAGTCAGGAAAGTGAGTGTTTCACTGTTAAATTTTCATAACCATTTTTTGTAATGGCTCTTACAACCTATTGTGGCTGTTGGTTTACCTAATTATTTCCCTCTTAGGCGATTTTTAGTTTTTTTCTAGGTTTTTTCATTGTAAGAATTGTTGCAATGAATGTTATTTTTACCCATAGTTTTTCCTTTTGCCAGTAATTCCCTTAGTATACATTTTCAGTGTAATTACTAGGTCAAAAGGCATGAACATTTTAGAGGTTGATAAATATTGCTAACTCACTTTCCAAGAAGGAAATAGCAGTTTTGCATGTTTGAGTGCTTTTATTTGTACTTTAATTGGCCAAATTCTTTTCTTCCATTTGTTCTGTTTTATACTTTTTCCTACACCATTATCTATCCCAGTGCTGGCCAATAGAAATACTGTTTAATACCATAACCATGTCACATGTGGCCATTGACTATTTAAAATTGATGAATGTGACAGAGGAACATTTTTAATGTACGAGTCAGCCACACCTGGCTAATGGCATGGTGGGAGTATTTTCTATTGTCCCATTTCCCATCGTGGGAGTATCTGCTACTTCGCAGTCTTCTGCTTGGTTGAATTTGCTCACTTGCATGCCACTCCCCTTCTCTGGTCAGACTGAAGTTTTTCCCCTCATCTTGGCCTCCTAAACTAGGTCAGGACAGCAGGCACACTTTGTCCATGTAAATATTTTGTTTACAGGCAATATCAGTGCACTCAGGGACTTAACTGTTTCCGTTATTTAATACAACCATTTGAAGTCTAATTGAGTTTATTCTCCTCACCTGTCTTCTCTGTGCTGTGTTAATGCCTCCTTCTTAGTGAGAACACGTGCTTTCTCATCTCCCTTTGGTTGGTTTTCTTTCTGCTATAGTTGTGGCTTTTTTAGTCTGACAGCTGATACCGATGTTCATTCTATTTAGCAGGGACGGCGAGAGAAGGTCAGCTAAATGGTTCATCTGCAGCCCACAGTGAAGAAAGAGGTATACTATTTCCTGTACTACTCTTTGCCAGTTTGTCAGCAGAAAATGTGGTCCTTGGACCTAGTCGAGCGAGACCTTGGAATATGATGACTGATTTACCTCTGCTACCTGGATTTTGTGTTTTTCTATCGAGTCTGTTACAAGATTCCTATTATCCCCTATGTCTTGTCTTCTGAAGCTGGTTAGCTTTAGATGTGTAAACCTGTTTTGTGAAACCTTTTTATTTTCTACCTTTTCTCTCTCCACAGACCATAGTACATGAGAGGGCTGCAGAAGTCACCACCATCAGATCAAGCTCTAAGGCCCTATCGTGGACAGTGTTTAACAGTAAACTTACAAGAACCCAATACAGCTCCTAGGAAGAACCAAAACCCAGAAGTTGAAGGCTGGGGCTTCAGACAGTAGGGGAGGGGACATTCCAACAGTCCTTCCTGCGGCTGGTTTTTGGTCTTTGTTTTGTTTGCTTTCCAGTTCTTGGCCTTATGAGGCGTGTTCCAGTTTGAGAAAACCCGAGTGCCAGTGAGACCGAGATGCAGCTCCCCTCCCACCCCCAGGCTGGACACTCAGCTTGTGTCCACGCAGATCAGCATGAGGCCCACTGAGGAGGCTGCTGCTCCACACGAAGGACTTGGCGTGTAGCTGCCACGGGCTCACCATGGCCCTTGCTGCAGTTTTGTACTCTACTTGGTTTTTCAATGAAGTTTAATCACTGTTTTTTAAAACAAGACTTGAAGCTTGAAGTTTCTAGACCTTTTACAGTGTACAGTATTTTACTTACCTGAGCTGTATTAAAAGCTTGTTCATTTACTTCCCAGGGCCCTGGTTCTACTTTTAGCCTCTTTACAAAACTGACAAGCCTAGCGTTCATAACTCCATTTAAATTTTAAAAGGTCTGTCGCTGTACCTGGGGGAGGGGGCTCTCACTCAGCAGAGCCATGTTACCACGTTCCGCAGCCTTGCTTGTTCCTGCTGCTTCCCTTCTTACCGTAAACCCATTAATGTGATGTGGGATTTTAGTTTTGAATCCTGTATAAAGTAACTCCAAGACTAAAAGGCAATTTATTTATGAAATTTATTTTCTTATATATAAATTACACTCTTCTCTGGGCAGACAGCCTTCCCCTTATTGCACTAATAGCACATCTGTAATACCAAGCTACAGGACAAGTCTCAACAAGAGGTTTGTATTCTTCAACGTAGCACTTGTCTACCAGGCACTGTAGGGAGGAGGCAGGAAAGCCAGGGTCCCTCAGGGTGAAGAATTGGGAGGGGATAACTTGATACCCTTCTGACAGCTGGTTTTCTCCCAGGAAGGGGAACATGCAAAGCTCACATCCAGGTTCTGGATGTGGGAAGAGCAGGAGGGCTGAGAAGCCCAATGCAACACCTCAGCTCAGCTCCCCTTCTCTGAGGGAAGAGGGGACTCCTCCTCTCATTTGTAAAAATTCTTTCTGGCCTGGCTGATGCTTTGCAGAAACGAGGAGGATGAGGTCATCAGAATTAGCAGCAATTAAGAACAGGCCATACATTGCCACAGTATGCTTACTAAGCTCAGATGTCCCTATGACCACACTAATTAGTGAAGTTCTGATGTTGGATCTTCTGGCCATTGGTCAAAGCTGTAGTGAGACCGAGTCTGCAGGCAGAGTGGCGGGGATGCCCAGTAGGAAGGGGGGAGACCACGGTGACGGGGTGGAGGGACGAGCAGTGACTGTAACATGATTAGGCCCTCCTTGCAGACGGAAGCTGGACGGAACAGGGGGTTTGGGGTTAGGGGGAGCAGCACACTCAAGGAGCTCCCCGCACTCTGCCTCTGTACTACACTGAAGACAAGTTTCTCACACAGTCTAAAGCACATTCTTGATACAGGAACCAGGGACTTTGGGGGTGGGGGGTGGGGAGCGGTGATTTGGTATTGGGCAAGAGCATGTCAAGCCTTCATGAGAGCAGCCACTACAGCCTTGGCGTTGAGACTACGTAGGTCACAGTAGGTCTGGCCAGTGCCCACAAACACGATGGGTTTGCTTGTGATGTAGGTCATAGAAATAGCAGCTCCCACCTGACATGGAGAAAGGGTGCCTGGTGAGGACCTTCTACTCACTCCCCCAGTAACAGGCAGCGTTGCCGCTCACGTAGCCTCAGCTCCCTTGTGAAGGACGGCTACTCCCCACCCTCCCAGCAGCACTCCCATTTACCTTGTCATCAATGGTATCAAATTTGGTAAGGACAATGCCATCAATGAGCCGAGGTGTTTGAGCCATAGAATGGTCAGCCAGGGCTCTGTTGAACTTGACCTGGAAAGGAGAAATGGCATGTAAGTGTATAAAGCACCTAAGTGGCCAAAGCTGAGGTGGGAAGAACCACGCCATAGCCCTCACCAGCTGATCCACGGCCTCGTTGCCCACTAGGGCCTCCCCCCACAAACAGCACCAAGTCGGGCGTGTTGACAGTAATGAGCTTGGCCAGGGCAGTCATCAGAGGGGCATTGTCTTGCATGCGACCAGCTGTGTCCACCAGCACCACATCGAAGCCCTGATTGCGTGCTGGAGAGGAAAAAGCGGTCAATTCAAAACCCCTGGACTGTCACACTGACCTCCAGCTTTCTCAGGAAGTCCTGGCCTGACGACGTTAAAAGTCTGTCAGTTTGCCTTCTTGGGCTCCGGATATGGTTACAAGGTAGTGGGAGGGACAAAACTCTGCTTGGACCTCAAGGCAGTCAGGAAATGGATGGCAATTTGATGAAAGTGACCAAATAGAGGCTGCTTCAGATGGGATACATGAGCTCGCAACGCCACCCATTACCCCCAGCAGAGCACGGCAAGTCACCAATCCTGACTTGTTACTGCGCAGTCTTGGTAGGAGGGCAACCCTGATGCTCGAGGAGGAGAGGGGCCCAGGCACGCTCCCCCACGCGGTGTGCCCCGTACCGAAGGCAATGGCTTCCATGGCGATGCCAGCAGCATCTTTGCCGTAGCCCCTCTCAAACAAATGCACCATGGTGCGACCACCGTGACTCTCAGGGGGATGCAGGACACTCAAACGTCGGGCGTGTGTACGCAGCTGCTCCACAGCCCCGGCACGAAATGTGTCACAGGCGGCAATGAGGACACTGAAGCCATTCTCTAACAGCCAGAAAGAAATCTGCAAGAGGCAAAGGAAACTGTCACCTAGAACCAGAGCTCTTAAGACATGAAGAAATGTCAGACTGATGGGGAACTGCACCGACCTTGGCAAGGTTAGTAGACTTCCCCACTCCATTAACCCCACAGAAGGTGACAACATAAGGGCGCTGATGACGCTGAGCATCCATGATATCCCGGAGCATGTCTACACGACGCTGTGGCTGCAGAATCTGTACCAGGGACTCTTGTAGAGCCTGCTTTACTGTGGAAGTCACAGCTGAAAGGGGGAGGAGGTGCAGCCATGAATCCCAAAGAATACTCTCAGAACACTCAACAGCTTCCTGCGCTAAGGAAGCTAGACTCTGGATGACAACATAACCAGGGTCTCGACCCAGGAATTCACACGGCATCTGATCTTAACAAATACTTTACAAGCATTCACTCATTTAATAGAAGTTTAGAACTTAAGGGATTTGCCAAAAGTCAGGAAGGTCAATGCTCTGGTGCTTCCCGGTGTGTGTAATGCTGTCCACACATGCTGCTTTAGGGCGATACTCACTGCTGAATGTCCCCATCACCTTCCCTTCCAACTTGTTGGCCACGGATTCACAGAGCTGGACTGCAATGTCTGCTGCTACATTCTTAGCTGAGAAGAGAGGGCGACAGGTGTGGTGTGAGTGCCATGTCAACAGTCAACACCGCCTATGGTACAGCTAAGAAACTAACTTGTTCTGCTCTCCGCTATCCCTACCCCATCGACACGAGTCTACCTGTTCCTTAGGACTTACCAATGAGGTGATCACGCATCTTGTCCAGCACAGATTCCATGTCTTCACGACTCAAGCTCTTGGAGCCCACAAGGCCCTTCAGCATCCCAAACATGCCACCCAGAGTCCCCTTGGTAGCACTGCAGGCACAGGAGAGTGGGCGGAATCAAGTCTCATGCATCCTGGAGTGACACACCACCCTCCGCCTGAGATGTCCTACCTAGGTTTGGTAGGGCTTTGAGCAGCCCCCTCATCATCTGAGCTGCTGCAGTCCAGATCCTGAAGCTGCCCCCCAGGCCCAGTCCCTCGGATCTGCAGGGTATGGGGAAAGGAAGGAGACAGGATTAAGCATATTGAAGGTTCTGGGTAGGGGGGTCCCCAGGATTTATTGCCCTGTCCCCTCACTCAAATACTGCCCTCTTCCTCTCTACTTCCTCCCCAACTCTTTTTTCATGGCGACCTTCACTCTGGCCCGTTAACGCTTACCAAGTTGATATCCTCAGGTGGGGGAACATCGGGGGCTCCGTTGGTGGTCGGAGCGCTGTAATCCAGGTCTTCCTTGTTAACACAGCCGCCTGGTGCCCACACCCGAGGTGCTTTTTTGCCCTTCTCCTTTGGGGCATCTGACTTCGTGGACTTGCTGAAACGGTTACAGCACAGGTTATGATGGAGAAGCAAAAGAGGAAATGTCCACCCAAGAGCCAGAGACAAGAACGCCCCTGGCCCCAACATGGCTAGATCATGGCAGAGGTTAGGACGCTCACCCGGATTTCTCTATACCCTTCCCATGTTTCTGAATGAACTCCTCTCGCTTCCTCCGTATCAACTCTTCTTTGGAAAGTTCTACCCCATTCTCAGCCCCCACTGACTTCTCTGCAGGGACTGTTTTGCTGGTAGCCAAGGGGGCATCCAAACCTGTTGGGAGAAAACACACTATAGAAAAAGGACCAGACCCCAACAAAATAGAAAATGGGAAAAACATCTTCCAAATCCTTGAAGAGGAAACTAGGAGCAAACATCTTGGGACTCAAAGGACTGGCGATGCTAGCGAGGATGGTGGGCATTTGAGCGAGGGACACGGGCAATGACAAAGACTAGGATGGGGAACCGCTTCTGTGCTCAGTACCACGTTAACTTTTCATGCCCCATATGTCCAAGGAGCTCAAACTAACCTTCCTTCTTGGCCCCCTTGGTTTTTTTCTTTGCTTTTTCCTTGGGCTTTTCACCCCGTGTCTCAATCATGGATCTTACAGGTTTCTTGGCCTTTTCAGAATCTTCATATTTCTTCATGGTAGCCGGAACCCGGACCTTACTGCTCTCCTCTGCTTCACTGAAGAGAGAAAGAATGGTTGAAGTCCAGAGAAAGGCCCCTCACACCAAAAGAGTAACTTAGAACTGGGTAGCTAATTTAGAAGTGTCTTTCAACAAAGAGTTTACTGCCCTGGAATGGGCCTCAGGAAGGGAGGGAGCTCATCAAGTCATGGAAATTGGTTTTGGAGCAGGGAAGCCTCTCACCGAAGGAGCCGCAGAAAGTCATTTTGGAAATCAAAAGTGCCATTCAAAAGACTCAAAGCACTTTGCTGTTGGATCTCTGTGCGGTACTTGTCCCGAAACAGCCGGTGCACATCATCTATCAATTTGTCTACATACGTCAGTGTTAGGATCTTCTGAAAACCAACCTGTTTAGAGGAAGAAACAGAGCCAGGGGGATCTGCTTACATGCCATCCCAGAACAGCTGGAAGCCAACTCAAGCCAGGCCCCCAGATTGGCTAGGCCGTCTGGCAGGTGTCCCTGACCTGAGGGGTAGCCAAGCTCTCCGACTGGGCCCCAGAGTTTCTTCCCTTTACCCTCACCCTCCTTGTCCTCTCAGTTACTTCATCATATAACACTTTCTGCAGTTAATCAGGATTCTCTTACTAATCAGGACTATGTTGAGGATCCACTCATCTCTCTAAAATACCCCCACTTACCACAAACACCAGCTCAAACTGGTTGTCCAGTTTATACTTGAGT